ATGGGGCTACTTTGTCAACATCCTTAACCAGGAAGCATCCAGGTTTTTTACTGCTACTCCAGAGTATTCTCCAGGTTATCGCGAACGGTCCCAGGAGGTCAAACAATTGCTGCAACAGAGAAGGGACATGAGGGAGCAGTTGGGGCAGCAGCAGGACGAGGAGCAGCAGCAGAACATCAAGGAGGAGCTCAGGAGGAGGAGCAGGGAGCTGAGGAGGCTACGCAGACGTTACGTTGTCCTCTGGCGTCGGGACCTCACCTCGGACTTGCTCGCAGCACGGTCTCAGAATCGGCAGGGAGAGGTCGCGAGGTTGTGTCGGCTGCTGTCGGGACGAGGAACGGGACCTCGGAAGAGGAACTACCGTCGGGCCACCGAGCTGATGCCGACGGCGGCGGACCTCTACGCTCGCTTCCAGCTGTCTTCAGGGGAGGGAGGGATGCAGGCAGAGATAGTCGACTGGCCCCAGATGATCGATGACTACGTTTATCACCCTGATCACGGATTGGAGGCTCAGCAGTTTACTTCCCCCTGGACCCAGGAGGGCCTGGAATGGGCTCGACAAAAATTGAAGCTGATAGGACAATACCTGCGCAGGGCTGCCAAACGAAGAACGTCGCCACCCTGGTCCCTTCCTATAGAAGTGTTCTGGATGCTGTTCCACCCGTACCGGCGTACGTCGAGGAGGTTCCGAGGTGTAGGTTATCAGGCTCCAGACCTTGATCTGCGTGCTCTAAGGCGATTCCTGGTGATATTTGTACATAAGATATATCGAAGTAGTCAGCCACCAGCAGTCTGGAGCTTGTCGATGGGGGTGGCCACTAATTGGAAGAGGGTCATACACGTTTTGTGCCCCTTTGGCAAAGCCTTCATCGCCACCAGCCTGGACCCAGTGCAGATCACCCAGGAACCCGAGTTCGCCCACGGTTGTGTTCCCAGGAGGCGCCGCGAGACGGCCATCATGATCCAGCAGTCAGTTGGATGGAGGCTTAGGAGGCTAGGGATACGGCATGTCACGGAGCATAAGGACATCACGAACGCGTTCGGTAGCAGTTCTCGTGAGGCTATCCTGGAGGCCAACCAGAGCATCATGAAGGAGGGGGAGGCTAGGTTTGGGGTCCAGAGGCTGCAGTTATCCACGGTGTGTTTCTCGGGGCTGGATGGGTTTTTTTTCGCCAAGCCTACGGTTGGAGCGCTACAAGGAGATCCCTGGGTAGTTAAGGTATTCACACGAGACATAGGAGGGGTCTTCGCGCGAGCACAGCAGGATCATCATAACTCCCAGGACGAAACAGCTACGTGGTGCACGGTCAGGCTCCCAGCAGATGATGATCAGGAGATGGTTATGGACCTATCATTTCATTCATATGTAGATGATGCCGCCAAGAAGTTACTTATTGCGGACCAGACGACAGACTTGGCGCAGGAGGTCAGCAGGCAGTCCTTGCAGTACGATGATTTGTTATCGCGACGACTGACTGAACACAACTATCAACTTAACCCAACAAAAAATGAAACAGTGCTTGCACTTTTTGGGGATCAAGCTCAGAACTGCAGAAAACAAATACGGACTGGCAATATTAGGTTAGCTGGACAACCCAAAGATTCTGCTAAGTACCTGGGTAGTATCGTTAGAGGTGATGGAGCTTTCTCTTCTGAACTGGAAAATAGGCTTAGGGCCACTGATGTTGGTTATCACAGTATGGGGAGATTCTGGTACCAGGCACGAGTCCCTTATGTTGAACGACGTGCTGTCTTCCTATGTCGTGTCCTAGGGTCTGCGTTATCAGGCGTCGAGGCTTTCCTCCCAACGCCTGCTCAACTACAGCGATTGCAGAGCAGAGTAAATATGTATGCTAGACGTGCTATGCGAGGGCTGGCCACTAAGGAGCAGAACGGGCATAAGGTTTCGATCAGTAACGAAGAGGTTTGTAGGTACTGGAAGATGGCACCACTTGAGATCGAACTGCGCGCACGGCGTATCAAGTGGTATCAGCGCTGGGTTCAACAACCTGATCGTCACCTGGCAGAATGGGCAGCTTTGTTTGGCACCATGCAAATCGAGTCGCAGAGAGGAGTGCAGATCGTTGGACAGGACGAGCGTCTTACAGAAGATGCTTGCCCCTGGGCTCGTAGAGTAATATCAGATATTAACTCCCTGGCTGACTTAGGAGATGACGAATATGAACATGTACAAGAATTTGATAGCAGTCCATTGAGAATATTCCAGGACGAGAGCTTAGTCGAATGGTTCACCCAGTTTGACCCAAAGAAGTTGCGAGCTAAGTGGTTAAGTGTAGCTATCCCCCCTCCTGGATATGCTCATCCTCAGCCTCAGGAATCACGACCCGACCCGCCACAAGCAGCAGGAGATATGTTACCATGTTCAGTACCAGGATGTACTCGTTCTTTCCATACCTCCAGGCAGTTATTGGTTCACCTCAGCAGGGGGCATGAGTTCAGATCTATCCTTGGTCTGGCAGTTACTTCTAATGTATGTTTTGTCTGCGAGAGCGTTTTCGAGAGCCGTAACTCGGTCTATAAGCACCTCATCGACTCCTTCGAAACGGGTATATGCGTCACACAAAGAAGTACGACCTTCAAACATCCAGGCCAGGACAACACTGATGAGTGCCCATTGTGTAAGGCTCAAATACTTGCTGGGGCTCCGCTGCGAGCCCACATCCGTACGCATTTTCTCCACCTCCCAGCACTCGACGATGCCAGGAGAGGGCGCGGCAGCAGCGGCGAGGCCCAACGAGCAAGAGGCAGCAGGAGGCTCGGAGATGGCGGCAGCGCCAGACTGGATGATCATCGGCACGGCCAACAAGCGCAAGGAGCTGGACGACACCTCGGACGCCCAGGAGAACAAGAAGGGGCGGCTGGCCGAGCAGGTCAAGCGCGACGGGCTCAAGATGGGCAACTTCAAGGCGCTGCTCGCCATCCTCACGAAGCTCAGCATCACGAACTCCAGGGAGCTCGCCGACCTCACAGGCGCCTGCTTCACGTGCTTTCTGCTCCCCGCGGGCGCCCCGCTGATCGGCATCATGCAGCAGGCGGGCAAGGCCTACGCCCAGGACTGCAAGCAGAGGGGCAAGCAGCACGGCAACGGCCCCCCGTGGCCGCACGTCTTCCTGGCTCTCCTGAAGCACTTCTGCCAGATGACGAATTTGGACGAGCCGTCGATCAAGGCGTTCAAGACCTACTGGGGGGTGATCACGAGCCTCAGCAAGGAGGAGGGCCTGATCCAGCTGCAGGAGCAGATCAGGTTCCTGCGCATCAAGGGCTGCTGGTACGACCGCAAGAAGGACGACAAGCCGACCAGGTTCAAGCTGCAGTTCATGATGAGCCCCAACTCCCAGGTCAATGGAGTGAGGAACACCTCCGACCAGACCAACACGATCCCGCTCCACCAGGCCTTCTGCATGGCAATCCTCAAGCAGGGCGGGGAGTACAAGGCGGGCGGACCCCCCAAGGGGGCGCTGGAGAGAGAGGCGGAGAGGCTGCTCAAGCGCATGGGGATCGAGAGCGACAGGCAGACCATCGAGGTAGACAGCGACCAGGACGGGGAGGGGTTCTGAGGCCGTTGCGTCTTGAAGCAGTGAACGGATCTGAGCGTATGGCAGAGATGTATAGGGAAGGCCGCCTCACGGGCATACAATTACAGGCCCTGCAGGCCCGCGTCCACCACCCCATCCTCAGGTATTTTAACGGCAGTCGCAGTGTCTTGTTGCATCAGGTTGGCAGTGCAGATCCCCCCGCCATCATGTCATTTGAAGAGTTCCAGCAGCGTAGTGAGCAGGTGCGCAGAATAGAAGTCAATGTAGAGACAGTGCCGAATCAGAGCAATCGTGCCGCTAGTAGATATCCCACCCCCATCCCATGCCGCCGCATCGTGACCTGGCATTGGGGTCGCCTGTAGACACAGAGCAACGGGAATCAAAATCTGGCGGGGCATTTCTTTACCAGTCCGCTGCGGGCCGCGGCAGTGCGGGCCGCAGCAGTGCGGGCCGGCCAGGCTCTAGAAGTCAATGTAGAGACAGTGCCGAATCAGAGCAATCGTGCCGCTAGTAGATATCTCCACCCCAATCCCATGCCGCCAGCAGAGTGACTCTGGCATTGGGGTCGCCTGTAGACACAGAGCAACGGGAATCAAAATCTGGCGGGGCATTTCTTTACCAGTCCGCTGCGGGCCGCGGCAGTGCGGGCCGCGGCAGTGCGGGCCGCCCAGGCTCGGGGTTTTCCATATTGCAAGAGAGAAGTGAGAAGCGTTGCGACCTTGCTCACTTGTCCTCCCTCCTTCCCCTGCTCTGTCCGCCCGTGCTTGTTCCTTTCACGAAGGATGGTGCCGCGTGCGGGCCGCTGGGCGTTCCCCTTACAGCGGTCCCGCTTCGGCCAGAGAGGGCCATCCTTCCAGCGTCGGCCGCTGGTAGGCGATAGTTCGCATCCAAGAGCCTGCAGAGGTCACCAGGACTGCTGAGTGACAGAGGCTCGCAATGGTTGATTGATTGATTGAATCCTCCTCCTCCTCCTCCTCCTCCTCCTATGCACACAGCTCTTTTTTGATGGCGCATGCCATGAACTGTGTTTTTTTTTCTGTGGGAGGCTTCAGGTCGGCTATGACACGCGTCCGTGGATGATGGGACATCCGCGCTGTCTGGAAGGGATGGGAGGAAGGGACAGGATGTCAAATGAGGCACGAGCGTACCTAGCTTGTCTACCCATCTCTTCCTCCGTGTTCCACGACGGGCCCTGGTTCAGGAGGAGGAGGCGGAGGAGGAGGAGGCGGAGGAGGAGGCGGAGGAGGAGGACGAGGAACGAACACCGTCCATTGATTGGGCTTCTTCTCGGGTGTAATGCTGTTTTTATTCTCGGGGGAAGACAAGAGTTGGAAGCAGCTTGTTGGTCAACACGTTGCGCTCGAACGAAACAAGCGTTGCAGACAAACGCTTGTTCGCCTCCACGGCTCCTCCCCGCTCTCCCACCCCACGCCATGCCGCAAGTTCCGTGACTACGCGGACATCATCGCGGAGGACACTTCGCGAGACGGCGGCAAACGGAACTGTGTCGATGCGGCCTACGCCGTGCCTTGGGGCCCCGCCCTGTCGGTGGCTGGTAAGTGGCGTGGTTTGCGCTGCAGCTGACGCAGCGAATGTTTGCCGGTGGGTCCCCCGTGAAGATTACTGTTTCCGGATTGCCTTGGGGCACACCGGCACGTGGAAGGATTTTTTTTGAGTGTGCCCCCAGTTTTCTTGCAGCAGTCTTTCTGAGCATAGGTATTTGTTGCCAACCCGATTGTGAACCAGAGATGATCCAAGGGCTGTCCGAACCCTGTCCGCGTGATGTCTAGCAATCGGGGTCGCCGAAGGTTTATGTGGGTCGCCGGATTGGATGTGATGGGATGTCCAGCAAGTGCGCAGAAGGCTTTTCAAACACTTCAAGAACGTAAGCGCGTGCTTCCACAAGTTTTTGAATTTCTAGACGCTTCGCAAAAACCCACCTTCCCTTCCAAAAACGACGCCTAGGCGAGTTGCTCTGATCAGGGGTGTGGAGGAGCATGCCGTTGAAGAAGGGGTCGGGTAAGTCGTCATAACCCAAGAGGGGGAGGATTCAGGAGGAACAGGAGGAGGGGTAGGAGGAGGTGGAGGGAGGATGGAGGAGTGACGAGGAGGAATGGGCGGGAACATGAGGAGGAGGAGGAGGAGGAGAGGAGGAGGAGGAGGAAGGAGGAGAGGAGGTAGGGGTAGGAGGAGGAGGAGGAGAGGAGGAGGAGGAGGAGGAGGAGGAGGATGGCGAGCCGAAAAGGCCGGCGCGCCCTCTGTGATGAATTCGCCGCCGTTAACTCCCAAGGTGATGACCAGCTTCTTGGAGTCCGCTGGGGATGTTTTGGCGGCCTCTTGGCGGTCTTGGGGGCCCTTTTGGATTGCCTTGGGTGCCTCTGGAGAGCATCTTGGGGCCTCTTGAGGGTCTCTTTTGGGCCCCTCGGGAGCCTCCTGGGCTCCTCTTGTCTTGGGGTCCTCGTGGGGGCCAACTTGGAGGAGATCGATCAAAGGTGGGTGGAACTGTTAAACGATCAGGGATGTGGAGTTGCATGCAGTGGGATGATAGAGGGCTGGGTAAGACGTCATGCCCCACGTGGGGGAGGATGGAGGAGGAGAGAGAGGGGGAGGGGGATGAGGAAGCATGAGCCACGTTTTAGAGACGGCGGGCCGTCGGGCGGGACGCTCGGGCGCGTGGGGACCGGAAACAGACATGGCCGCCAGGCGGGAGGAACAGCAGTGAACAAAGCGACAGGTCCCCCGAGGCACGGCAGAAGGGCCACCGCGTCAGACTCGGTCAACAACGAAGGCAGACTCGCCTCGCAGCCTCGACTGCGGAGCCCCAAGAGGCTCAGGAGCTGCGTGAGGGGGAGGGGGGTTCTGGGAGGACGAGTGGGGAGCGGAGCTCGTGCTGGGCTCACTCGGGGGCTCGTCTCTTCTCTGGGGACCTGGCGGGGACATCGGCGTAGTCTTAGGCCTGGGCGTGCTGGGCCAGATCCTCTGCACTGTGCTCCGCGGGTTTGCCGCACTGGCGGTCGCTGAAGTCGATGGACAACTCCGCCCAGCTTCTGATCTTCTCACTGCATGGCATCCAGGTGCACCTAGAGGAGGCGAGCATAGCATCGAGAGGCCTCGGCGGTGTGCCGTGCTCGTGGACGCCGCGCAGCTGCACCAGGGAGTCGACGATGGTTTTCTCGAGGTCTGCCGGGTCCCACTGCCAGCCAGATCTTCACCCTGTCGCCCGCGTGGGCCGTCCGCATCCTGCAGCACCGGATCTTGTCCGTGATCGCACGGTGCGAGAGCCGCTCCCGCTCGACCCCTCTGCCGGTGCTGCGCGCTCTTGGCGCCAGGCTCTGCCGTCCGACCTTCTCGCCCCGGGCGATCCGCGCGCCGAGGAGGGCCATCCTGACGTGGGGATGCGGGATGCCCGGCTCCTCCAGCTCTTGTTCCCAGCCTCATCCCTAAGATTGACACGCCAAAAGGCGATGACAATCTCAGGGACCCGCCCTCAAAAAAAATAGGGGAATCCCTGAGATTGGCGTCGTGGTGAGGAGGTGCCCAGCATAGGGATAGGGATATGTTCCAGGCTGGTAAGCCCTGGCGCCGTGCGGCGCCACAAACTGGGAAGGCCGCCCGGAGCCAATCTGTGGTCATGCGGTCCAGACCTTCGACGTCCTGCCGCGCTTTTAAGCCAGAGCGCGCGTCCGTGGCCCCTTGCGCTCAGAGGAGGAGGAGTAGGAGGAGGAGGAGGAGGAGGAGGAGGAGGGAGGAGGGAGGAGGAGGAGGAGGAGGAGGAGGAGGTAGGAGGGAGGAGGAGGGAAGGGATGAGGAATAGGAGAAGAAGGAGGATGAGGAGGAGGAGGAGGAGGGCGAGCAGAAAGGCCGGATGCCTGTTGGATGCCTCTCAAAGTCTCTTCGGATTTCTTCAGGGAGCTTCTCGGAGTCCTCTAGGGGCGTTCGGGGGGCATCTTGGGGCGTCTTGGACGCATCAGGAGTGTCTTTTGGGGTTCTCTGTGGAGCCTATTGGGGGTATCTTGGTGGCCTCTTGGGGGCCTCTTGGGGCCTCCTGGGCACCTCTTGGGACCCTCTGGGGGCACTCTTGGGAGCCTCGGAGGCCATCTTGGGGAAATCTTGAGGTGATCGATCAAACATACGGGGAGGTTCCAATTAGCGTTGCCGCACCCCCCCAGGAGGCCAACATTAGTGTTGCCGAACACTTTCGTACAATCAATGACTTTGATTTTCGCGGCGAGATCAAACAGGACTCTGATAATTTGCGAGACGCCCCTTCCAGACCCAGGGGGAGGGGGTCGCCGGAGTGGCCAAGACAACCCCCCCGCCCGCAAGTTGTCTCGCTCACCCCCCCCGCCCTCCCAACACAGAAGTCGCACCCGGGCCTCAGCAGGTTCAGCGGTCGTCTATGGATGGGCAGCTACAGTCAACGTCTAGGGTACCCTTGTGTCCTTGCCTCTGCGGTCCGTCCTTTGCCGTTTCACTGATCGCCCGCGGATGAAGAATGGCAGTATGTGAGGGGGCTGGGGGAGGGGGGGGGGGGGTGGAGGGGAGGTGGAGCGGTGGTGGATGGGGAGACGATGAGGCGGGAGGTGGTAGGTGTGGTTAGGGGGAGGGGGTGGGGAAGGGGCGGGGTGGTGGGGGTGAGCGAGGGAGGGGGGTGGGGGGGAGGCTGTTGGTGTGTCTCGTAGCGTTCCTTTTGGTTCGTCATTCTTTCCGCTTTATACTTTCCCTTTAGTGGGCGTGTGGCTGGGAGGTTTAATCTCTTCTTTTTTTTTTTTTCTCCTCTCTTTTCACGTCTTTTTTTTTTGCTTTTTATACCGGTTGTGCTGGCAGAAAACCGGGGTTTCCAACCCGTCCCCCCCCCCAACTCTCTGAAACTGGGGGGAGGGTCGCGGGGGGTTCCAAACCCCGCCCCTCCATTTTTCCCCCTCCCAGTCCATCATGAAAAGGGGGGGTCACTACCGGGTCGAACCCCTCCCCCGCCCCTCCTGGGAAAAACCGGGGGGGGGGGGGGTCACTACCGGTTCGAACCCCCCCCCCGTCCCTCCCCTCCCCCCTCGCCGCAACGATTCCCCCTTGTCTACCACTCGGGATGGGGGACTGGTGGGGACAGTGGTTGGGACGGTGGTTGGGATGGTAGTGGGGAGTGGGGACAGTGGGAAGAGTGGGACCGTGGTGGGGATAGTAGTGGGAACAGTGGGGGCAGTGCGACAGTGGTGGGGGCACTGGCGGGGACAGTGGGGACAGTGGAGGGGGCTGTGGGGACTGGGACAGTGGTGGGGACAATGGGGACAGTTGGACAGTGGTGGGGACGGAGGTGGTGGGGACAGCAGTGGGACAGTGGTGGGGACGGTGGTGGTGGGGTGGGGCAGCACAGTGGGACAGCGGTAGGGACAGTGGGAACAGTGGGACAGTGGTGGGGACAGTGGGACAGTGGTGGGGACAGTTTGGACAGTTGGGAGAGTGAGATTGTGGTGGGGACAGTGGCGGGGACAGTGGCGGGGACAGTGGGGGCAGTGGACGGTGGTGGGGGCATTGGTGGGGAAAGTGGGGACAATGGTGGGAACAGTGGGGACAGTGGGACAGTGGTGGGGACAGTGGGGACAGTGGGACAGTGGTGGGGATGGTGGTGGTGATGGGGACAGTGGTGAGGGGACACTGGGGACAGTGGTGGTGACAGTGGGACGGTGGTGGGTACGGTGGTGGTGGGGGCAGTGGTGAGGGCGGTGGTGAGGACGGTGGTGGGACAATGGGACAGTGTTTCAGTTGGGAGAGTGGTGGGGACAGTAGGGACAGTTGGACAGTGGTGGAAACAATGGGACAGCTCAGTGGGACAGCAGTGGGATAGTTGGGACAGTGAGACAGTGGTGGGGACCGGTGGCAGTGGGACAGTGGCGGGGACAGTGACGACAGTGGCGAGAGTGGGACTGTGGTGGGGACAGTGGCGGGGACAGTGGGGACAGAGCGACGGTTGTGGGGGCATTGGTGGGGACAGTAGTGGGAAAAGTGAGGACAGTGGGACAGTGCTGGGGTCGGTGGTGGTTGGGACATTGGTGAGGGCGGTGGTGGGGACGATGGTGGGGACCCAGGAGTTTTTTGCCGGCGGCGAGGGGGGGGGGTTCGAACCGGTAGTGACCCCCCGTTTTTCTGGAGGTGGGGGAGGGGTTCGAAAACGGTAGTGCCTCCGGTGTTCTGTGGCAGGGGGGGGGGGGGCGAGGGTGTTAGGGAGGGGAGGGTTTAGCCTTCGCGACGTTTCTGGACGTTTTGCTTTTTTAGGATTTTTTGGTCTTTCTTTTTTGTGTTTTTCTCTTTTTATTAGTTTTTTTTTTTTTTTTTTTCCGTGGTTTTGTTTTGGGGGAGGGGGGTGGAGGAGGGGGGGGGAGAGGGGGGGCGGGTCCGAGCAGCGGGGGGGATTTTCGGAAGGGGGAGGGGCCCCCCGGGGCTCCAGAGGATGCGGGGGGGAGGAATTTCCCACAGTAGAGCGGCGGTGGATCACGCTGTGGTCCCGCTGTCTGGGCTTGCAATGCGTTGCAGGCATGGTACTTCCTCGACACCGCAGGGGGTGCGCTGGGGGTGGTGCCGCTATCCGTTTCGGGCTCGCAATGCGTGGCAGGCGTGGCACTTCCTCGACAGCACAGGGGGTACTGCGGTGGTGATCCCGCCATCCGTTTCGGGATCGCAAAGCGTGGCAGGCGTGGCCCTCTTACTCGACACCGCAAGGAGGTGCGCCGGTAGTGGTCCCGCTATCCGTTTGGGGTTCGCAACGCGTGGTCGGCGTAGCACTTCCTCGACACCACAGAGGGGCGCTGGGGGTGGTCCCGCTATATGGGTTTCGGGCTCGCAAAGCGTGGCAGGCGATCGACACAGCAGGGGGTGCGGCGGCGGTGGTGCCGCTATCCGGTTTGGGTGGGCAGCGCGTGGCAGGCGCGGCGCTTCCTCGACGCCGCGGGGTGCGTGCGGGATGGTCGCGCTAGACGCTGCAGCGTGCGCGTCGGCGGTGCCTCCCCCCCTCCGTTTCAGGTTCGCACAGCGTTGCATGCGTAGCTTTTCCTCGACGCAGCAGGGGGTGCGTCCGCAGTGGTCCCGGTATCCGTTTGGGGTTCGTCAAGCGCGGCAGGCGCGGCGCTCCCTCGACGCCGAAAGGGGACGCGGGGCGGGGGTTTACACGTGCGAGGGCCTGCATATCAGCAAGAATTGCAAACGCCGCGGGTCGGGCCGGTTCATCGCCCCGGGCAGCTAGCATCCCCAATCGACGGCAGCAATGGCCTTTGCTTCTGGCGGAAGCCATGCCGCCCGAAAGTGCCAGGGACGCACTGCCGCCTCCGTGCTTGGCGATGAAAAGCGCCATGGGCCAGACAGGCGTCGAGGTCAGCGAGGGGGGGCTCGCGCAGATGCGAGATCGGAATGTTATCGGCAGCATTTAGCGCGCACAGCCGCCAGCAGAACAATTGGTGACCCGATGAGCCCTGCGAGAAGTACTCCGCGGCATAACTACCTGCGGCGCCCTGCGTCGGGCTGGTTTGGGTGTTTTACAAAGCGCGTTTTACAAAGCGCGTCTTCTGATTTGCCGAGTGGAAACGGCGGGGGCGATGGCCCGCCGCGAGTGAAGGTTCAGCGAGTGCACGATGCTGGCAGCGCTGGCGCTGACCCTGAGTTTCCCTCCGCAGCGTTTCGCGCGCATACGATGGCCACTCCATTAAAGGGTTCGCCCATGCAGGCCTTCGCCCCGAAGCCGTCTCCGGCAGTTCTGTTGGCGACCTCCTGTTCGGTCCGCTGGAGCGCCTCGCAATTCAGTTGCCCCCGGGGCCCGCGGCGACGGACTGGCCGTAGTCGCAGGGGCCGCGGTCGCAGGACCTGCGAGAATCAATCCAGCTCGAGAGGCTGTTGTCCCAAGCAGATACAGCAGCGGTCAGATTGCACAGGGAGCTCGCAGTTCGCGGCCAAGCGAGCTGCTGACCCAGAGAGCCGGCCATCGAGGAGGGGCGACGATGCCGACTTGAGGGCGCTCAACAGGTATTCTACACACGATGTCCCCTACAGTATTGATGTTCCTACCTTGCGCGCGTTCGCCTTGCAGCCTGATGCACGCGGTGGGGGCGGCGCGCGTTCCAGTGCAGGCGCAAGCTTGGTTCCTATCCTCTGCAGATGGGTTCTCGGAGGCTTGCCACCACGACCCCGCCGCGCACCTCCCGGGCCGCTCAGGGCGCCTCGGGCGACGACCCTCTCGCAATAGGCTGCGTGCCGGCGCCAGAGCGCGCGTTGTTCAGTCCGACCTTAAGCGATGGAAGAGAATCTCGTGGTGTCGGGGCAAGTCCGTTGTGACGAGTGCTGATCGCTCGTCGAGTTCTCGGAGCTACGATTCCCGCCCTAATTTGGTGATGCACGCCGCGAGATTGGTTGAGCGCTTTGCCTGCGCGCGGTCCCCCGGGACGTGCAACGCACGAGAGGGGCCGGTCACGCCCTCGACGCCGCGGGCGCACCGGCATGCCGTGCGCATGAGCGACGACCAGCGTCTGCGGAAAAGGGCAAATGGCGCGGCTGTTGTCGCGGAGGCTACAAACTACAAACGGATGGCCGAGAAGAGGGTGGCGGCGTCCGATCAGAATTGGATGACGAGCCCCGGCCCGAAGACCTCGACCACGGTCCTGGACAGCAAGCGCACGCGCGAGACATTGTTGCAAGTATGGGTCGGGGACATCCGGATATCACCAGAGAGCCCTGAGCGAAGACAAACTTGCATGGGTGGAGAGAAGCCGTTGCGCCCGCTATCGATCAGGCCATGCTACTACGCGTTCTCGCTGACAGAGTCTGCGTCCGGCATGCGCGCGGGGCGCGGCCCCCGCCTCCACTGGGGTGCGCGGAATCTTCATGCCAAACGCTTCCGCCATTCCTTCCCGCAGCTTCGCGCGCGTGCACCCGATAATTCCCGTCGTCAGGCTGCGCCTCGCGCAAAGAGCCCCGAGCCGCGCTGTCTGGCCGGCCCGCGTAAGCGGCGCTTGCCCCGGGGAGCTTTCCGTAGAAGCGGCGGCATGTGAACCGTTTCTTCTGCGAAGTCAAAGCATGTTTGTTCCGCGTTGTGTTCGTTTCTGTTCGCACGGCGCGTCAGGTTCCCAACGTTTGCTGGGCGTCGGCCAGCGCGTCGGGGGGCAGCGGCCACCATCGCCATTCGGCATCAGCGCGCCGGACATATTACAAGTATGTGTGTTTCCGCGGCCGCGCAATTGTCTTCGCCTCGTTCGCGCGGGTTTTTCCCGGAGGTCGGGTGATGTGATGTGACCGCGTGGTGGCACTCGCCGGAAATCGCAGCATTATTCTTCCTCCTTCCCATCCTCTCTTGACGTCGTCCGTTCGGGGGGTTTCCGTTGGGCATGTTGGATGATATCTGGACCTTTTCGAAGGTGTTTGGGTGTCCTTCTGGGGGCCCCGGTGGCGTCCTGAGGCAGACGCGCGCGCGACGGTTGTTCGGAGGTCGTTTTCTCGAAGCGGCTACTTGGAGCAATCTTCGGACTGTTAGGATGCATCTTGAGGTGTGATTGTCCACGGGGCGGGCGCGCGCCGCCTTTGGGCGCTCTCGGGCCACGCTTCGGCCACTGAAGGGGTTGATCGGTCCCTCTGAGACCGTCTTGGGTCTCTCGAGTAACCGATGAACGCCCGGGGCGCATCATCATTATAGGATACGTGTGCACGCGTGGTTACACGAGGAATGTTATTTAATCGCTTCGCTCATTCCGCCGGCCCATATTGTCGCACCGTTGTGGGCTAGCCGAGTTTTGGGGCCTCTTGGGGGCCGTTTTGGGGCCTCTTGGGGCCTCTTTTGGGCCTCTTGGGCGCCTCTTGGGGCGTCTTGGGGGCCTCTTGGGGGCCTCTTGGGGCCTTTTTGGGGCCTCCTGGGCGCCTTCTGGGGCGGAGGGCTCGATTTTTCAGTTCTCGGTTCCCCTCTTGAGCCCCTCTTGGGCCCGTCTTGGGGCCTCTTGGTCCGTCTTGGGCGGCACTTGGGCCGTCTTGGGGGCCCTCCTGGGCCGTTCCGGGGCCGTCTTGGGAGCCTCGTGGGCCGTCTTGGAGCGGTCTTGGGGGCCTCTTGGGCCGTCTTGGAGCGTCCGGAAGCCGACAAAGCCAGAACGCAAAAAACATAGAACAAAACAATGAAAATCAACGATTTTGGCCTCTTGGGGCCCTCTTCGGAGGCCTCTTGGAAGGCCCTTGGGGCGTCTTGGAGGCCTCTTGGGCTGTCTTGGGGCCCTGTTGGGCGTCTTCGGGCGATCTTTGGCCGTCTCGGGGCCCTCTTTGACCGTCTTTGAGGCTGCTTGGGGACCTCTTGGCCCGTCCTGGGGCCCTGTAACAGGGCTCCGGCATCTCTGGCCCGACCTTGCCGGGGACTTGCCGGGACCATGCCCAGGTACTTTTCGTCCGGGGACCCCCAGGGGCTGCCCCGCGCGCGCGAACTAGAAATACTGTTAACCAGGTACCGGAGATCTTAGCACGCCCTGGCCCGTTGGGCCGGCGAATTGTTGTATGTATTGTTATATGTTGCTACATATGTACATATGTATGTAAGTGTATTTGATTGCATGTATGCATGTGGGCATATATACATATATATATATATATATATATATATACGCATGTTCATATATGCGTATATAGATGCGGAGGAAGAGCCGTTTCGTCCGACGGGGTCTTTTTGGAGGGCTCCTGGGGCGCCTCTTTGGGGCTCATAAGGGTGTTATTGAGGCCTCCAGGGATTCCTCACGATCCGCGGCCAGCAACGGGGGGAAATGAGGAGGAAAAGGCCTTGTTTTCAGAAGGCGCCGGGACTTCTCAGAAGTGTTCTGCATCTTCGGGGAAGGCTTCAACATCTTCGTTGAAGGTCCCAGGGTCGCCGCCAACAAGAGCACCTTTAAGAAACCATCTTTGGCCATCAGGATGCATCTTGGGGCCATCCTTGGGCCAAAGGAACCGTCTGACGCCTCTCCCCCCCCCCTCCCCTCGCGTTCACACCCCAAGGGAAGGAGTAGGGGGAGGGATAGCCCCTCCCCGAAGAGAATCGGCGGCAAGCGGAGGGGGGGGGAAGTGAGAAGGATCAGGCCTTCTCAGAAGGCGGCGGGGCTTCTCCGAAGCTCCCCGGCCTTCTGAAAAAGGCTTTGCGTCTTCGGGGAAGGCTCGGACAACTTCCAGAAGCGGGGAAGTTCCCAGACTTCTGAGAAGGCCCGCCCCTTTTTCACTTCCCCCCCCAGGCTCGCCGCCTCGAGGAGAAGGGAGGTTGGGAGACGAACTGCCTCCTCGGGCCGCCAGCTCCCAGAGGTCTGCCGGGCTGTCTGAGACTTGTCGCTGTTGGCTGCTCGCGTGCCCGCCGCTGTGGCCGGATGGAAACCAAGGGCGCCCTTGGAAGCGCGGGCGTGTCCGGCGGGTGGGGAGGGCGGGCCTTGCTTGGCGGGGCGGGCGGGGCGGGCGCCAGCTGGCACACGACGGGCGGGCTGGCGTTGACGGGAGGGTTGGGCGGGGCAACAGCGTTTCCTGTGGGCGGGCGGCGGAGACACCTGAAGCGAGAGGGAGAGAAAGCGAGAGAGAGAGAGAGTGAACGACGAGTGGCGAGAGCGAGATTCCTGAATCAGTTGTCAGGGAAGCCCCAGCGGCGCTTCAATTCCGGGGTGCTTTTGTCGAGGAGGTCTCGGGCGAGCGGGCGATTCCTCTCGGCCAGAGCGCGATGCTACGTGAGCTGATTCTCGAACCCCCCCTTTGCTATCGCCCCCTTTCGCCCGGCCCGAGATCCTTGGGTCAACGAAGGGCGTGTTAAGCAAAAGCGCGGTTCCTGAATAGGGGGCCCAAACATATACACCACCACCACCTCCTTCTCCCCCTCCCTCTCGCTGGAAAGAGGAGAGAGGAGGAATCGCCGCGGTGGTGGTGTTACATTCTTTGGGCCCCCACTGAATGCAGCGCGAGGAAGTCTACACGGCGGGAGCCGTTTTGCTGCAGCGGAGAAGCCCATGGGGGCATTGTTGTGGAGGCTCCGGGGCCCCCTCTCCGGGCCCCCCCCCCTCTGGCAAGCAGAGAGAGAGAGAGTGCAAGAGCCGAGCGGCGCACTTCAGTCAGGAGAGGAAAAATTACACAGACACTATTCATCTTCGTTTCCTCAGAATACGGGAGAACATGGGAAGTGGGGGGGAAGACAGAAACCCAGAAACTATCGGATAATATGGGGAATCTTCTTATTTGTGTGTACTTATTTGTGTGTCCTCGGGCCCCTTCATTCAACTGCGAAGCAGAACATGGCCAACGGTTGGGCGGGAGCAGCTGCAAAAGGCTTTCCGAAGCGGGTTTCGAAGAATAGCACGGCACCGCGTCGCGTCAGCCCCCTTTTCAGCCACGCGCCCGGGTGGCAGCATGATTTTGTCGGCACTTTCTTCCTCGTAAGCATGTGTCAGGTGCGCAGTCTCCCGATGCAGGGTAGAGCGCTGACAAGCAGTGGAACTTCTCGTAGCCTTGTGGTCCGCATTGGGATAGGATGCAGTGCAGCGCAACTTCATGCAGTGCAATGCGTGACCTGGGCGTGTTCTATAATGGGTTTACTTGTTGCCCAGACGGTGTTCCACCTCTTGGCCGTCGGGCAGCGCAAGGCGGCTTTGTGTTCTGACGTTAGGAATTCTGCCGCCCTGTTTTCTGAAGCCTAGCCCTCGACAGGAGATCGAGCGGATCGGCGGCAAGGCCCACCTGGCCTTCACGCCAGTGACCAGGGTGTTGGGATGACTCCGGAGGTATACGAGCAGCGCCCGATTCTCATTCGAGGGAGCTTGTCCACGAATGTATACCTTCATTACGCTCGGCGCCCGAGGGAGTGGGGTTCCTCATCGCGGCGGTTTGCAGACCCCCCAGGCAGGGTGAAACATGCACCGTGGTGAGTCGAGGCCCCCAACTGCGCGTACAAGCACGCTCGTCACATGCGTTGAGAAGAGACCAAGGCTAAAGTCGTCTCAAGATGTCCCCGGGACGCCCCAAGATGTCTTCGAGCGGCCTGAAGAGGTTCCACGGACACCCCCTTGTGTGCAACAGGCATACGTGTATATATGTGTATATATGCACATGCACAGCATGGTGAAATGGTGTTCCGCACCTTGCACCTTGGCCCTTCAAGCTTCGCATGAAGGCGCAATGCAAACGGGATACAACACGAGAACAGAGAAATATATTGTGATATGATCGACGAAGCCTAATTACGGCGAATCACCGCCGCCCCCTGCCTTCTGGAATCGACCATGTGGCCGAGCGTTATGACACGAGCTTTGCCAAGCTATCAGACCATGTGTTCCCCCAGCCGTTGTAGAAGCATTTCGGGAAACACATAGGGGAGGATGGCGGGGAAGATCAAGAGGAGGAGGAGGAGCGGGCATATTGGGAGCCTCTAGGGGGCACTCTTGGGGCCTCCTGGGAGCTTCCTGGGAGCCTCTTGGAGGCATCTTTGGGGCCTCCCTGGGCCTCTTGGGGGACTTTGGAGGCTTCTCGGGGGTCTCTTTGGCAGTCTTAAGACATTCCTGTCCCGTCGGAAGCTGCCTTGGGGGCCTCTCTGGGCCGACTTGGGGCCCTCTTGGGGTGCTCCAGGGCCGTCTTGGAGACCATCTTGGGCGTCTTGGAGGCCTCTTGGGCCGTTTGGGGGCCGTCTTGGGGGCCTCTAGGGCCGTTCTGGGGCCATCCTGGAGGCCTCTTGGGCGATCTTAGGGGCGATCGTTGGGGGCTCTTGGGCCGTCTACTTCAAAAACCAGTGGGCAATCAATGATTGTGGCCTCTTCGGGCCTTCTGGAGGCCCTCTTGGGAGCCTCTTGGACCGTCTTGGAGACCTCTTGGGGGTCTCTTGGGCCGTCTTGGGCCACCTTGGAGCCATCTTGGGCTGTCTTGGTGGGCTCCTGGGCCGACTTTCGGCCCTCTTGGGGTGCTCCAGGGCCGTCTTGGAGACCATCTGGGACGTCTTGGAGACCTCTTGGCTGTCTTGGGGCCTTCTTGGGACCGTCTTTGGGGCCTCTTGTTCCGTTCTGAGGCCATCTTGGAGGCCTCTTGGGCCATCTTAGGGGCGATCTGTGGGGACTCTTGGACCGTCTCTGGCCGTCGGGAGGCCGAAAAGAAGAACATGCCAACAACATGCACAAGTTTTGTGATAATTAATGGTGTTGGCCTCGTCGGGCCTTCCTGGAGGACCTCTGGAAGATCTCGTGGGCCGTCTTGGAGGTCATCTTGGGCCGTCTTGGAGGCCTATGTAGTGGAGTTGGAGGCTTTGGGGGCGAACTTGGAGGCAGACGCTCGTCCTTATCAGAAGGCGTCTGGGGCTAGGATCCCCAAGATCGCGATGTGTCGAGCATATCCCGCGCGATTCGGCCCTTTTGGAAGACGTGGGTTGCGCAGCGACGCGGCCTTCCGCGTGGCCGGCGCGCTGGGCAAAAGAGCCCAAACCAAGAGCGATAGGATCCATCGCGCCAGGCACCCTTGTGGCAAGACCACATGGGGCGGCGGCTCGAATGGCTTTCGGCCCATCCCGCCACCGTGCTCGGGTTGGTCAGCATTCTCAGGGATGCTTCTTTGGGCCCCTTTGGAGCGCTCTCGGGGGCTTCTTGAGGGCAGTTGTGAGGCCTCTTGGGAGCCTCTAGGGGGTCTCTTGGGGCCTCTTGGGGCGTCTTGGGGGCCTCTTGGAGCCTCTTGGGCCTCTTGGGGGCCTGTTGGGGCTCGCGGTCGAGGTATCGAAATGTCCGTTCAGGTCCCCCTATCCCCTCATGGCGCCGTATTTTGGGCCTCTTGGGCCGTCTTGGGCGTCTCCGTCTTGGGGCGATCTTGGGGGCCTCTAATTACGGCCGTCCGGGAGCGTCGGGAAGCCCGAAAGGCGGGAAGGAACAAATAGTCAAACACCGTAGGACAATCAATGGTTTTGTCTGCTTGGGGCCCTCTTGGAGGCGCTGGGGGTGTCTTGGAGGCCTCTTGGGCCGTCTGGGGGCCATCTTGAGCGTCTTGGAGCGATCTTTCGGCGACTTGGGGCCCTCTTGGACCGTCTTCGGGGCCTCTTGGGGCCATCTCGGCCCGTCTTGGGGCTTTCTTGGGCCGGAAAAATTTCATGCGACAAGCCGCGGGAAGCCCCGGATGAGCCGTGGCTAGCCACTTGAGATTTGGCAGGTTGGGCTCCGGGGCCCCTGCAGGACCCTTACGATCGAGAACTGACGCTCAGGAGAGTAGGCCAAGGACCTGAGGTTACGCCCACTCCGTGCCCAGCGGCACGGTGGCGGATAATACGAAGAAAGAACATATGGATCCCGTGTGCGTTCTCGTCGTTATCTTCTTTCAGTCAGTCTCTCATTGATCATAGTTGTTATTCCTCTTTTCGTTCTCGAGCATCTCTGCGAACCCTTCCTTGCCTTCCGTTTTTTGCGGAGGTTCCTTTTTAAAGTTTGTTTGCGGACATCACGAAAGCGAAAGCTGATTAAGGTTTGTGGGCTCCTTTGGAGCCTCCTTTGGCTGTTGGCTGTTGGCCAGTTTTGATGAATTATCGAGGCCTCTTAGGGCGGTCTCGGAAGCCCGGAAATCAGAAGAATCGACTGCCCCCACTCGGGTGTTGCCAACAGTGCCCCTGGCCCAAGTTGCCCCCAGGACTCCTAAGGAGGCCCCCGCGGCTTCCAGAGCACCCCTCACGAGGCCCAGGCGGCCCCAAGGCCTCCAAATTGGAGCGAGAAGCAAGGGGCAGCTTCGGCCAGGGGCAGTTCTAGCAACACCCGACCCACAGTCATGCACAACCAAGCGAAAGTCAATGTGTCTTCCGTCTGGAGGGATTATTGGCCTGCATGGACGTCCAGGAGGCCGGGAAGGTGGAGAAAATGCCGAGATTCGTGTGTGTGGGGGATACCCATAGGTGTGGTCCCCCGCCCCGTCAAGCATGTGAGTAGACCCGTGTGAAGATTAGGCAGAACGAACATCGTCAGAGGAGGAAACGGTACTCATATTGCTACCCTCGCCTCGCTTTCGTCATTTCGGGCCTCCTGTGAGGCCCTCGTCGCCAGCGCTGGATTCGCCTCGACATGCTGGTCCGAACGCACCCCGGGAGAGGTCCAGGGAGTAGCAGTTTCGGTACCTTTTGGTTTCCCCATCTCGAGCGGCGCTCGACAAGCTCCGCAGTTTTGCGGCCCTGTCTCGGCTGAACTCGAGGAGCTCGGTTCAGCCCCTCCGTGCGTGATGTGCCCTCTTTGTTCCTCTCCTCCCCTCCCTTCTTCCTCATCGCGAACAGAAGAACCCCTAGCCCTAATCCCACGATGAAGACGTGGCGTCACTTAGCTCCTCGTCTTCGCATCAGGGATCATGTATATGGGCGGTTTGGTCTGATACAGCTGCAGAAAAAGACCCTATATCCCTAGTGTTGCTTGCCCTCCTAATTTAGGTTCCCTCCCAAAAGGGCTAGGGGCCCTTTCATTGCTAAGCTTTCCCCCTTGCCCTTCTCCCCCTGCCTTCTTGCGTCTGCCCTTTCACCCTTCCTCAGGGGTAACGTTTGGGAGGGATTGGCTCAGGGGGGGATTCTATCGACCCCCGATCGCCCATTCGTTGCCGATAGGGACCTGGTAGCTTACCTTGATTGGGGCCGAGGGTCAGAGAGCGCCTTCCTCTGCAGGACCACTGACAAGGGGACGTCAAGTGGTCAAACGCCTCGCCGGTTAAGCCGACGAAGATGTGCAACATCCAACCATTCGCTTATGTCCAAGTTTTGGGTTTGACGGCGGGTGCGGTGTACCCATTCCAGCTTGACCGAACAGGTTGGTGGCGCCCCTTGACGTCCGTGTGGGGTGTTCTGCAGACCTGCCCCCCAGACCTACTCAAAGCCTATCCCGCCCAGGAGTGCGGCTTCGCTATCTGGGCTCATCGGTTGTGTGTTCGACGATTCAGGCTTGCTTTTTCCCCCCTCTGGTTTGGCCCCCACCCCACGTTGCCCCTCGCTCCCTCCCACTGCTTCCCTCCCCCCTCTCCTCCCTCCAGCCGCGCCCTCCTCGAATGGGCTGTGCACACTGCAACTTCCTGCGCATCGGCCAGAGGGCCCTGGACGGCGGGCGATCTCACCCGCACCCCGTGTCTCCCCTCCTCCGGGGGCAGCACCATCCAACCGATCCCCATTCCCACAGGGCCACAGTATCTCAGCCTTGCACGCCCACCCCTCTGGGCGGGGATAAGCCACGCAAAGCCCGAAGGTAGCAGCACGTCTCCGGGGGTATCGGCCAGTGGGACAAAGGGCCATGCCAGTGGGGATGGGAATACGTTAAACGATGCTCGAGGAGGGAGGTATAATGGGTCGGCTGGTGAATGGGCGGGCGGGAGGGAGGGAGCGAGATCATTCGCAATGATGGCATGGAGTCCTGACGGGCCTGGATTTGTTTTCAACTTTTCTGGCTCTGAGGGAACTCCCCAAGCCACAGGACCGTTTTCGTCAGGACCCGTTCCCATCATGCCAACAACATCTTATTCCAGGATGGAATCGGAGAAAGGAGCGAGGGGACCTCGAGCAAAGAGGAGGGGGAGGTGCGCAAAGGAGGGAGGAACATAGTTATGAAGAAGGAGCAGGGGCAGGATCATGCGGAGGAGATGGAGGGAAAGGGAAATGGCGAGGGGGAGGAGGAGGAGGAGGAGGAGGAGGAGGAGGAGGAGGAGGAGGAGGAGGAGGAGGACCACAACGAGGGAGGTGGAACAGTCGCCCGCAGAAATGTTGGAGGAGGGTCTGGAACGCCCACATCGCAGGCAGATGCTCGTATCGAGGATCATGCGCATCGGCATTCTGATCGGGTAAAAAGGAGGAACGATCGATCTGTCACTCGATGGGAAGACGTAGCATTGATTGACAGAAAGTGGGTGAGGGTGAACAAAGTGCACTGCTTATTTTTGCCGCCCGCCGAGGTGATCAGCGACGGTCAGACGCAGGGCACACACGCCATGAGGCTCTTTTTGTTGCCGTCCCTCTCTCCCTCTCGCTCACGCGCGCGCCCTCCTCCCCCGTCTCAATGCAGCGGCTCTCAGGGCGGACAGGAGGTCCGGATTTCGAGGCCGCTAAGAAGGCACTAGGGCGTCGCATTCAGTCAAGATTTGGAGCCATGCTACTACATCCTTACACTCCGGTCGTTGAAAGTAGGTATTTTTGGATTCCCAGATCCCAATCTACTTCAAGCGACTTCCTACTTCAAGAATCGACACGCTTTTGCTGTGTTTTGTTATTCCCTGGGAGGACCTGGACCCAATCAACTTAATCCGCTGTCCTACTTCATGCTTCTACCTACTTCTTCCGACTGGCGAGTATGGGTGCCTGAGTCGACCCATGGGTGCCCGAGTCGGCCTGCTCATCGCAGCGGCGGGCTTGCCGGTGCGAGCGGGAAGGGATGTGGGGCGGTTGTGCCGAGCAGCACAGCGAGCCTCGGCAGCCCTCGCGCCGGGAAGCCGCAGAAGCGGCCCAGGAGGAGGTGGAGGTGGAGGAGGAGGAGGAGGAGAAGGAGGAGGAGGGATGATCAGGAGGGGGAGAGGAGAAGGAGCAGGAGCAGGATGAGGAGGGGGTGGAGGAGGAGTAGTAGCAGAGTGGGGGATGGAGGAGGAGTAGGCGGAGGGGGTGGAGGATGAGCAGGAGGAGGAGGAGGAGGAGGAGGAGGAGGAGGAGGAGGAGGAGATGGAGGTGGAGGAGCAGGAGAAGACTCTGGAGCAGCAGGAGCACGAGGAGGAGGAGCAGGAGGAGCAGGAAGGCATCCCTCGCCCCGGGGCCTCGGCGGGGCTGCGGCGAGGGACAGGCCGCGCCCCTGGGCGGGGGTCCCGGGCCCGCCGCTCCGCCCGCTGGGGCCCCCCCAGCGGGGCTCAGGGCGGCGCCGCCTCGCCGCGGCCCCCCGCCGTTGCGGGTCCGGGCGTGCGGGGCGCGACGTGCAGGCAACCATGGCAGTGAGGGTCCTCGCCGCGCATCCTCACCAGGGGCGCCCATCGAGGGCGCGAGGTTCTTCGCGCTTCGCGGTTCGGCGCCGATTCCTCCTCATCCTCCGCTTCTCCCCTGGGAGGCGGCGCGAGGGCGCGAAGCTATTCGCGCTTCGCGCAGCGCGACGCGCGAAGTTGGGAGCCCTTGGATAGTGAGGATCCTTCCCGCGCATCCTTGCCGTCCTGGTCGAGTGTAGGGGCCCGACAGAGCTTTCGGGGGCCCCCAAGCGGGATGGTGACCACACCGTGTGGTGAGTCGGTGGGGATTCGCGGTCACCGCACGGTTCTGGGACTTGGGTCGTTCTCCGAGGGCGTCTCGGGCGACTGGGGCCTCCAGGGTCTCAAGACTTTGTGGTGACGGACCCTGCGGTGAGGTCTCTGGGGGTTTCGAGGTCACCGCCGGGTCTGTCAACACACGGTCTTGGGACCCCCAAAGCTTGGAGGACAGCATGCGTTCTTCATGTATCTCTCTCTCTCTCTCTCTCTCCCTCTCTCTCTTTTCTTGTCGTTCCCCCGTCCTCCCCCAGCCAGAACCCCAGAAGCCGCTGCCACTTCGCCCCTCCCCCTCCTCTCCCCTCCCAACGCCCTCCCTCACCGTCTCTCTACCCTTCCTCCTCCCTGCGCAGCGCGTCTTGCGCGTATGGAGCCGGTGAGCGCGAGACCATGCTGGTGGTGGTAGGGTGGCCGTTCCCAACAGGCTTGCCTGCGCGCAGACCGCACGGGGACCTGCCTGCCAATTTCAGGAGGGGGAAAACAACAGACATATACAATTATTCACTGCGTGGAGCTCCCCATATGTGCATCTACTCGCATGGACCTGTCCGCCGTGAATGTCTAGGCGCAAGAGCTTTCGAATATTAACGGGCTTCAGTTGTGACGGTCTGGACATCAATCTAACTGCGAATGAATTGGAGTGTGAATGAGCCTCAGTAGTACGAGCGCGTCTCTGTGCATGAGCCTGGGGCCTCCTGGGGCCTCCTGAAACCTACTGGGGCTTCCTGGGGTCTCCAGGAGCCTCTTGGGACCTCCTGGGACCTCCTAGGAAGGTTTCGTGCCCCAGGAGAGGCGCAATCTATAGCAACAGACGTACATAAAACATTGCGGATTAGAGCCACAGGAGAAGGGCAATCTATAGGAACACGCGTAAAACACCAAGGACTCGTGCCCCAGGAGAGGCCCAATACATAGGAACATGAGTAAAACATTTAGGATTGTGTACACAGGAGAAGGACCATCTATAGAAACATACGTAGAACATCAAAGAATCGTGCTCCAGGTGAGGCCCAATCGATAGGAGCATACGTAAAACACATGGGATTGGAGCCACTCCTGTTGCCTTCTGAGGCCTCCTGCTCCTGGGGCCTCTCGGGGCCTCCTGTTGCCTTCCGAGGCCTCCTGGCGCTTCCTGTTGCCTCCTGGGGCCTCCTGTGGTTTCCTGAGGCCTTCTGGAGCTTCCTGGGGCCTCCTGGAGCCTCTTGGGACATCCTGTGGCCTCTTGAGTCTTTCTGTGGCCTCCTGATGCCTCCTGGGACCTCATGTGGTCTCCTGGGGCCTCCTGGAGCCTGTTGGAGCCTCCTGTGGCATCCTGAGAAGAATCTGCGCCCACGAGCCTGGCCACCAAAACAAGCAAACCGATCGAGACATCCTCAAAATCTGGCCCACCTGGGGGGTGAAAATGAGCGCCTCGCTCGAGACATCCTCCAAATCTGCTCCGAAAGCGAAGGATGTTGAGCCCAGAAACAAGCAAACCGCCTGAGACATCCCCACAAAATGGCCGCGAACGAGCCCGTGCAACCACCCCTGGCGGCTCCCCTTAGGGGTGCTGAAACCAGCGCCCCGCCTGAGACATCCTCACAATCTGCTCTCCAAGCGAAGGATGTTGGGCCCAGAAACAAGCAAACCGCCTGAGACATCCCCACAAAATGGCCGCGAACGAGCCCGTGCAACCACCCCTGGCGGCTCCCCTTAGGGGTGCTGAAACCAGCGCCCCGCCTGAGACATCCTCACAATCTGCTCTCCAAGCGAAGGATGTTGAGCCCAGAAACAGGCAAACCGCCTGAGACATCCCCACAACATGGCCGCGAACGAGCCCGTGCAACCACCCCTGGCGGCTCCCCTTAGGGGTGCTGAAACCAGCGCCCCGCTTGAGACATCCTCCACATCTGATGTGTGTTGAGTAAGTCTGAGTATGAGTAGGACTGAGTATGAGTATGTCTGAGTATGAGTAAGTCTGTGTATGAGTAAGTCTGTGTATGAGTAAGTCTGGGTATGAGTAGGTCTGTGTATGAGAAAGTCTGTGTATGTGTACGTCTGGGTATGAGTAAGTCTGAGTATGAGTAATACTGTGTATGAGTAAGTCTGGTATGAGTAAGTCTGTGTATGAGTACGTCTGGGTGTGAGTAAGTCTGTGTAGGAGTAAGTCTGTGTATGAGTATGTCTGAGTGTGAGTAAGTCTGAGTATGAGTAGGTCTGAGTATGAGTAAGTCTGAGTATGAGCAAGTCTGAGTATGAGGAGGGGAGGAGGAAAGAGGAGGAGGAAGAGGCAGTAGGAGGCGTCCAAGTAATAACAAGAACCCCATCTTAGGATATGGGGAATTAATCGACGATTGCCAGGAACATATGCGAAAAGATTGGAAGTGGGGGGAAGACGAAAACCTAGAAATATTGGGAACTATGGGGAATCCTGTTATTTGTGTCTATTTATGTGGATGTCCCAGGGCACATTGACAATTGCCACACAATAGCCAATCCTCTGGAGAAGCGCTCTCGCGACACAGTCTGGAGCGCGCACAAACAATGGTCTGCATATATATATATATATAAACATATTTATGTATATATATATATATGTATATATATATGTATGTATGTATGTATACAAAAGTATATATCTGTATGTATATATATATATAGATATGTTCGTTGCTTGGATCCCTAAGATGAATTGCCCCACCGACCCCGACCACCGAGCCCGAGGGAGCTCCAGAAGCGCCCATGCATTCCTTACTGGCGATTTGCGATGCGCGTTCTTTAGGCAGGGCTCGAGCCTAAGCGCGCGCTTGGTTCTATCGGAGGTCCCCAAATGGTGCGGTGACTACCGTGCGGTGAGTCGGTGGGGATTCGGGGTCACCGCACGGTTTTGGGACTCGGGTCGTTCTCCGAGGACGTCTCGGGCGACAGGGGCCTCCAGGTTGCCAAGACCGCGCGGTGACGGACCCTGCGGTGAGGCCTTTTAGGGTTCCGAGGTCACCGCACGGTCTGTCACCGCACCGCCTCGGGACTCCAAGTTCTGGCCGATCACAGCACGCTTGGTATTCGATCGCGTTGCAATCGTCGAGCATTCAGGCTGACGACAGTGTGGTCGCGTCGTTAATTACGCCCTGACGGCGAAGCTGGGAGAGTACATGCGGAGCCGAAGGTACAGGAGGGACCAGAGGAGAGGGATGGTGGACAGAGAAGGCGGGCGCAGGAGAGAGATGGTCGAGTGTGGGGTTGAAGGAAATCGAGGGTTGAGAGGGATGGGGAGGGGGGATTGAAGGGGGGTGAGGCTCCAAAATGCACCCCGATAGGGCCCCAGGATGCCCAAATTGTTACATTCCACGTGGGGAGCGTGCACGTTTAGTATATTCGCACTTTGGTCACAGCCTCCGAAATAGCCCAAGAGGCCCCACATATCGCCCCAAGACGGTCCAAGAGGCCTCCGAGAGGGCCCAAGGACGGCCCAAGAGAGACCCAAGACGGTCCAAGAAGCGCCCAAGACGGCCCAAGAGGGCCCCAAGTGGAGTCCAAGAGGGGGAATCCCAACTGACATTTCGAGCCCTCCGCCACGAATGCGCCCCCGAGGCCGCAGCAGGCACCCAAGAGGCCCCCAAGGGCCCCCAAAGAGGCCCCAAGAAGCTCCCGCAGGGCCCAAGTGAGGCCACAAGAAGCTTCAAAACTCGCTCCACGAGGCGCCAGAGAAGCATGCCAAGAGACTCCGAATTACAGGTAT